GCAGACGTGTGCGTGGACGAGAGCACAGCAGAAGTTATTCTTATTTTAAGTTCTTATATATATATTGTTTGATTAATAACTTGTATGTTAATAAACTGAAGAAATGCATACAATTAAAGAACCTGACAGGAAGGAATACTTATTTTTTGAAATTTGAGAAAGGTTCATGGACTCTCGTGGTAGATAGAGAGAAAAAGAAGATGTCTGTACAGTTAAATACTTAAAAACTAAATAAAATTATACTTTGACAAGGCAAGATATCTCCAGAATATCTGCAGTTGGAATATTATGTAGATATATGTTGATGTTCCTAAATAGATTTGCTTTTTTTGGGTTTTTTTAAATAACAGCTTCAATGTTTAATTTAGTAAATATATTTATAAAACAAATATTCCTGCTCATGCATATATTCTAATCAATGATAATTTATAGATTACAATATTTCTCTACGTTATCGTTTCCATCCCACCTTTCGGTTACCTTTATATTCTCATCTAATCGATTTTTGCAACAACTTTTAAAATATGATGATTTCCCCCTAAGGGTTGATTTTTCAATACAGCGATTATTTGTTGAGCATACAATTTTTACACACTCTATATATAGCATCAACTCTTCAAGAATGACTGTTTTACAAATTCTTCAGTTTTTCACTCTCTAAACTGTTTGCTAAATTATTTTATTTTCTTATTAGGATTGGGGTCTTCAGCTCTAAATTGTAAAGTAGAAGAATCCCTAAATGAAGGAATGTTTGCTTCACATAATAAAGCGAAAAATCTTGATTGCTATATTCTGTAATTTCACAATTCAGGATTTATAGATATTTGGACACATAACAATTGGCTAACAAACTCTAAGACGTAGTGTCTTGTTGTTGTTTGTTGCTTGGTAATATAATACATAGATTCTTTGTAAATACTTCTCGCTGGCCATCTATTTGTCTGTCGAGTTTTAGTTTGGCAAATAATGTGGTGAATGCTTTTATGCACACACAAGCTGTTTGTCTGTTTACTTATCCATCTGCACATTCTTTTTTCCAATTGTCTCGTTATTTTTGTCTGACCCGTTTGCTTTTTTTTAATCATAGTTTAATCATTCAGCTTTTGATTTCACGCTGCTGCTCAAAAACTTGCCAAGGAGAGCAACAAGAAGCTGAAAGAGGAGCCTGATAGACAAATAATTTGCAACAACAGCAGCATATACTTAGTCGAGTAGTTGCAGTGCAACACAATAGCATCGTTGAAATGTTTACATCAACAAAGTCTAGCTCGCTACAACAAAAACGACAACTACAACAACAACAGCAACTAGAATAACAACCCTGTTGTCCCCGTCTCGCCGGACGGTTTTTTTTTTTGTGCCCGAATCTCAGACGAGCACTCGACGCAAGTAAACAACAGAGGCCCAGGCTCAGGACGAGTCGCAGGCTATGGCGGACGCATCACAGCAAATGAGGCGAAACCGTGGCATACTTTTGGGCGCTGTCTATGTGTGTGTGTGCGTGTATGTCTCTGTGTGAGTGTATTTTTAACTGCGCTAAGCTGCTGTGTTCAGTGTTTGCCTGCAAATACTTAAAGGCAAAGGCAAACCATGTCAATGACATCTGACACGTGACCCTTTTTCACACACACAAACACACACACACACACCCTGACGCACACCAACAGCCATAAGGCCATAACCATAAACATTTAGTCAGAGCAGCGACAACAACACTGTCATTATGTTATTGTTGTTATTTTTGCTTTTCTTGTTAGCTTGTCGTCGCATGGTGGGTAAAATCCATAGGATGGAAATATTTTTGAACGCCCGGTAATTTTTTCAGGGAATTAAAATTACTGAGTTAGAAGAAAAATAATCAATGGAATAAGTGTTAAACAAAAAGTTCACAAATGTTAAACAATTATTTAACGTTTTTTGGCTTCAATAAGTTCTTGATTAAAGTATGGAGTTTACTAAGTTCTTTTAAGATTGTGGACATTTTCTGTGGAATCTTAGGGTTACTCGTATTTTGTAACGAATCAAAAAATGTCGAAAAGCCACAGTTCTATTTTGAAATACGAAATACCTACGTATTGGGAAAAGACATTGCATAAAATATAGAACTATCGAAAGCCAGTTGCCATGCAAATAGGTTAGACTAAGGTGTCCAAAAATTTAGCATATGGTGCAATATTCTTATCTTGTTGTTAATAGCAACGATATATAATTTGTGGCTTTTACTGCCCTAGTTTAATTAATACAGGGCCTATTCCTTTACTTAGAGTGTGGAAGTGCACGCATAGTTTCTAAATTTCAAGCATATTAATAAAACAAAAGACCAATTGGCCGATCCTTGTGTATCTATCAAGAATTATATTTACACGCCTTATTAATTTTAAATGTTTCAGATATAAGACTAGATCTTAAAAGGCCTTAGCCTAACTTGGATTGGGTGTCTCTGCAGCTCTTAGAACAAGAACCGAACACATATTAGGCATGCATCGAAAGACATCGTGTATTCTTCAATTCATCAGAATAGTTGGGAATTTTTAGAATGATGATGATTGATATTAATATAAAATGCTGTTCCCCTATTTCCCACATATATAAAAAATTATTTAAATTCTCAATATTTATATTAAAATATTATATAAGAAAACTAGATATAAAAAATTAAATTACACAAATGAAAATTACACAAATTAATATTAAATATATAAGCTTAAATTAATGAAATGTAATTAACTAAATTATTAAATAATAAAATTAATTAAAAATTGAACAATATTTCGCTCCAAAATATCAAAAATATTGACAAATCTTCTTTTAAAGACACAAAGAAAGAAACCATTTGCTTCATTGCAAACAAATTGCCTTGCAAATTATTTCCAAAATGTTGTAAATATACTATGGCGAAAAAATTGAGACAGTTTTTGCGTTTTTGCACCACTGTGGGTCGTTCCAACGTGATTAGATGCGATTGTGCGCGCAATCGAGCGCAATTGATGGCAATGCCATTAAAAGGTATCGCCAGTTGTGCCTTCCAGTAGTTGCTGTTGTTTTTGTTTTCTTCCCCCATTCCTCCTAAATCGACCCCTATTTGCCAGGCACGCTGCATTGCTTTCACTTAACCGCCTGTCTTGTGTTCCAGGGTATCATTTTCCTTGTCGTTTGTGTTGCCATCGTTCATAATTAATTTTCTAGTGAATTTACTTTCATGGCGTTTTGGTTTGCTAAGTGCCGCCCCCCACTCCCTGCCTCTGCCCGTAGCCCTGCCCCTGCCCCTCAATCCACAACACTACAGTAGTGCAGCAAGCAATTTCTGATATGCGTCCCGCATCGTCATAAAAGTTGTTTCAGCAGCGGCATTTATTTTAATTTGAAAACTATTTGCTTGGCCAAGCAACTGACTGCCCTCCGTCATTGCCCTCGACCTGCCCTGTCCCGCCCCGCCCCGCCCTGCCCCGACTCACCCCTTAACCGGCTAGCGACTGAGGGCAAGAGGAAAAAAAATAGTATTATGACTTATGCTCATTATATTCGCATGACTTTAGTTGGATTTTTATTACATAAGCCGCTTGCTGGCTGCTTTTCTGGCTGGCTGGCATTACATTGCGTATACGCAACGTTGTACGTACAAGGCAATAGCCGGATTTTCATTATAATTTGTATATGGCGTGCCAAGTAATGGCCATTGCGTTGAGGTTGAGACTGAGACTGAAACTGAAACTGGAACTGAGGCCGAGAGTTCAGTGAAACGGTAGCAAAATTTGTTCCTAATTTTAGTTGTTGGTGTAGTTGCTTGGGTTAATGGCAGCATAATTATATGGCGGGCCCGCTCATGGGCAAGTGGGCGGACTGGTAAATGTTTCCTCCCCAGCTCTCCAACTCTCATTGAAATACTTAACGTAGTTAAGCGCGCAAATTATTTGCACGAAAATATTTTAGCTGTGGTTTTTATATTGTCGGGCTAAGCAAAAGGCAATACGAAAAAATTGCCACAATATATACCAATTTTATAATATCAAATGGCAAGTCGAGAGCTTTTTACTCTACGATTATTATTATTTTATTTTTGAATTGTATAATAATATAAGGTGTGTACAAATCTTATGTGCAGCCATTTGACGCGTAAATATGTGAAATGTAGACCCATAACAAGTGTTTATATGATGCATAGAAATCTGACGTATATTTCCAACTGATCTTTAAATATCTGACATGAAAAACATCTGATGTTTAATATCTGGTCGTTAAAAATCTGACGCGTAACTACATTTGTATAGCAGTTATCTGAGATGCAGACATCTGATGCCTGGAAATCTGACGTGCAGATATGTAGGTTGTAAGCATCTGACATGGTTAAAGTAGGACTTCTAGCCATCTGACGCGTGACAATCTGATGATCTGACCTCTACACATCTAACGTGTAAGCATCTGAAATGTATTTATCTGCTACTTGGGATTACCTATTCTAAAGACATCTGATGTGTAGTTGTATTTAACTTTATTTTTCATAATGAAACCCATTTTTGAATCGCAATGAAATTGATCTAAATGTTCTAAATAGAGGAGTATTTAAAGGCCCTTTCTAGCAACCATCCGTACCTTTCAACTGGCATAAGCAATTCGATGTAACCCATTTGGGGTGAGCGTATTAAAATGTTTGCGAGGGCAACATCCGGTTAGCTCGGACAGGCAACTTGGCCTCCATCAGTTGGCGTGTGTAGCGCACATTTCACTTAAAAAAGGGGCAAAGTTTGCTGCCAAACGGCCAACCAAAGAAAAGAAACAATAAAGGCCGGCAGTGAAACACACTGCGAGATAGGCAGCGGTAATGAGCAGGCACGCAGGGAGTGAGGGCCCATCTGGAGTTTTGTAAATTTAAGTTTTTGTAGCGCCGCTTAAAACTGCAATGGTGGCGCGATTACATTTGATTGGTCACTTACGGCCAAGTTGTTGCCTTCTTATTGGCAACAATAATGATTTATGCTGCAGATGGAAGGAAAACACATTACTGAAGGTAAACATTTAATTTTTTGTAACAATTTTTTGTGGGCTACGTAAAGAAACAATTTTGGGGTAATATATAGTATATGAGAAACATTTTTCGGCTCACTGGCTGTCAGCGGATTGGCGTTTCTTGAATTTTGCGGCCACCAAGTCGAACTGTTCGCGCTTCAAGCGATCCATTTCGGTTTCTTGCGCCTTTCGCTGCTTGGCCAACAGTATGCGACTGTGTTGCCGCTCCTGTTGATGCTGCTGCTCGATCTTGGCCTCAAAGAAACGCTTGGCACCGCTCACTCCCACCGCCGAGACATCGACGGCCACGGAATGGGCCAACTTCTCCGTGTATTCATGGTCCAGCTTGCTGCGAATGTCCTGCGTAGGCAGATTACGCACCTCGGCATAGATGAGTAGAAATTGGCAAAAGGATAGATATTCCTCGTGCTCGCCCGCAATCTTGTTCATGATTCGCTTGGCGGCCAAATGGGTTTGCGGCACTGAGAGCTTCTCGAGCATTAGCTTCAGCTCGTTGAGCACAATGAAGCCGTCGCCATCGAAGTCGAACTGCTCGAAGTACTGAAAGGCCAAATCGATTGCTTGGGGTGTAAAGCAAGCCTTAAATTTTGTGTAGATCTCCTCCATGTCCATAGCATCCTCGCTGGCCGCTTCATCATCTGTCATTTGAATGATTTTCCGCTCGAGCACAATGTGCGCCTCATTGCCGTGGCAATCGCCACAGCCATTGACCTCGGCATCGTCATTCTCATTGTCGTCTTTGCTGCCCTCATCATCAGGACTATCGCCCACATGATCCTCGTTCAGCTGCACTGTAATCGAGCTCATCGCCGATTGCATATTGTCGAAATTGCTGTCCACACTCTGATTGGAGGACCGTTGATTGCGTTGCAACAGAGCGCGCCTCAAATTAATGCAAGAATTGCAGGACGCAAACGATGAGGAGAACGACAGATCCGATGAATCTTCCACATCAGTGGCATTCGCCTCCGGACTGTTTGCACACGTCGTCGATGGATTCACCATCACTAAAGGCGTAGACAGCATGGGCCGATCACTGATCGCATTTATTTGCTCATTGAGCTGCAAGTCGGCGCTGCTCGTGCGCGGAGTAAAGACCAAGTCATCTATGTCCTTGCAATTCAGAGGAGTCTCATCCAACAGCGGCATGGGCATCTCAGCATCCGACATATTTGAGAGAACTTTTACCTAAAATTTGTCTAATAAATAGGGAGCCAAAAGATACAAAAGTTGCAAAGGACCAAAAATTTGCTAATACAAAAATTTTAGGAGGAAGCAAATTATTATTTTTTGTTGAAAATTTTAGTATAAGAGTAAATAGTGGAAGCGAAAGTAAAAAAATGGCATGCTTACAAATTTTAAATTTTACTGAACGATGCTGCATTTTTATTTCCCACAACATTCGAAAAAATTTAAATATTTATGCGATGTAATTCTATCTTAAATAAGTCTTTGACATATTTCGTGGCTGCATCATATTCATATTCATACTTTTTATCCATTTTAAGCATTTAAAGCTCAATTAACATTAATACTGTTAAGCTGTTAAGTTTTGACTGGATCCGAGTACACAATTTAGTTTTGGATAGCTAATTTATAATCTGCCAAAAATATTTGCACACTGATGTTAATAAAAATTTAGTTTTATTGAGCTTTTCAGTGTTCCTTGAAATTTTTAAAATTATTTATATTATTCCATTAAAAAATTTAGAGTAGCTTTTATACAATTTTAAACTTTATTAAATTCATTTATATGTATTTTTCAAAAAGTAGAATCATTGTTCATTTTTGAAAATGTTTTCTTTTTTCTGAACTACTTCTATTTATTCAAAAACATGCAAATATTTTAAAAACAAACAATTACTCGCTTTTTAAAAAAGCAATTATATACGAAACATAGAAATATTTTATAATTTTAGCAAATATATGCAATATGTTAGAAAAGAAGGTCGTGTTTAAAGCCACTGCTCTGAAGAATGTAGCGAAAAAAATCAACAAAGCATGCATTTAAATTGTTAACACGATAATTAAGTTTAAAATTTAAATTACGCCCAACTTTTTATTGGCACGCCAGAATATTTAAATTTAAGAATGTGGCACGGAAACAAACCGCAAATAAATGTGATTTCCACATGACAGTCTCCACACCCACCCCTCGACCAACGCTTTATCACTGTGTGGGTAAATAAATAATGCGTGCCAACGACCATGTGAAGTGACCAAAAGGGAAACGCTTGCGGTGTGCAAATAGCATAGCATACCTTTGGGCGCCCTGGAAATGGCAAGAAATTGCGATGCCTGCTTGGCTGCCTGCCCCTTTTTGTGTGTCCTCACCTTTTTGTAGCTGTTGTTGCTTGACAAATAAAACGCGAAATGTCAGCGTTCCTAAAAAATAATACAATGCGCAAAAAAGAGTCACCAATAAAAGCTTAATTAACTGTTTATGGCCATGGCATGTTAACAGGCGCGTCCTCATGCTATTCGTCCTCTTCAGCAAGCCGGCCACGTGGTCATTAATTTCGACTGTCCACGCAAATGTACGTGTATGTGTGTGGGTGTGTGTGTGTTGCATAAAACGAAGCAAACAAACACACACACACACGCACCCCGAATAAATATGTGTGTGTGTGAGTGTCTTATAAAAAATGCGACGATGTGCTTGGCATTAAAATTGATTGCTCCCATGGGCAGCAGATTATTGAAATGTGCAGACATCCGGCGATATTGCTGGGCATGTCAAAGCCATGTTGGCGGTCCTTGAAAATTGTTACTTGCTACTAACTACGGGAGAGTATTAATATCTAAAATGTTGCTTTTGTGGCTTACGAGTAACAAAACTTTTAAATTAAAGCGTTGCGATAAGGATTGATAAAGAAATTACAAAGATTCCAATTTTATCTTATTTGGTTCATCAATATGGATTAATATTAATTAAATTTAAAAAAAAATCTAATAAATATGCTGATAAAAAACACGACTGTAATTAATTATTCAATCAAAAAATTACAAAAATGTATTGCACCTTTGGTTCTTTAAAGATGGAAAATTATTTAAAATATACTTGTTGATATTTTAAAAGACATAGCCAAGTTCTTGCATTTTCCATTCACTTCAGTTTGTTCCATAACGTCTCTGGCTTTCAAATTTGGTGTGTTTAAGAAAAATCTAATAAGGCAGGTGCTATTAATTATCAGTCACTATATAATGAAGTCCTAAATATATTTCAAAAATTTCTAAAACAAACCCGACGTCATCCATCATCACAGCCAATCCTAATCTTTATAAGTTAGAAAATTACATCGCTTTAGAAAAAAATAGTGCAATATGTATGAATAAAACAATTTTCTTTTGTTTTCAGCTGTCTTTTATAAATAAATACTGGCGGCTTTATTTCCATTCTACCAAAGAAGTTTATAATTCAGGACTGTCAGCAAAAAAGTTGGCAGCATTTAATTTACATAGTCAGGGAAAAGTTTATATCTTTTTTGGTTGCAGGTCGCATGAGCGTCGATTATAAAATGCACAACTGGGTTAAGGAAAATTGTGAAAGCCCAAATAACAACTACTCCCACAATATGAACAAACAAACAAACAAACAAGGTAGTGGGACGCAATCGAAAAACATCGACAACGAGATAAAAGGCCAAATGAGAACGAAAATGGGTCTGTGGGGCGCATGAGCAACTTACTTTTACGAAAAGTTCTTGGCTCCTTAATCAAGCGCGCCAGGCACGCAGCAGAAGCAGCCCACGGGTCAGAGCCAAAAGCCTGCAACTGTTAACTGCATCCTTTGGCTATTTTTTGTGCCTGGGCGCAATTTCATTTTTTTCTTGGCCCAAAAGTGTCAAAACAACTTGCAGCCTGGCGCTGCCTGAAAGTGTAAGTTGTTGATATTTGCAGCCCATCGCTACATGCTACTACTTTCCTGGCAACAGGCCAAAGCCCAGAGCCTAATGCGTCTTAGGCATTACTTTTTTGCAGTGCGGGTGCACACTTAATAAAAAAAATAGCGAAGAAAACTCACAGAAATTGAAATGGAATGCGGTGTGCAGCTGACGCAACAAAAGTTGCACACAAATACATAAATTCTTAGTTGAAATTGAAAATGAACAGAAAAATGAATTGGAAGGCTTATGCCGGGCCGGGCCAGCACCAAAATAAGCATAATTAATGATAGTTAAAGCTGTGGCCAGATCGACCTTTTTTCGCAGCTCTGCCCCTGTTATACCCTTTAAGCCGAAATAGTAAAAAGGGACACTAAGAAGTTTGTAAGCCAACATGAGGCATGGCAGAAAACATGTTTTATTTATAATATATGTAAAAAATATATACATATGAGCAGATTTTGAAATGTTATGAAGAATTCGAATTATAGTTAAACATTGCTCATCATTCAAGGAAGTTTTCAATCGGACGGAGTAGAAAGTCTTTTCAAGCTTTTTTTTGAAAATATTCTATTTTATTATGAAATTTAGGTAAACAACTGAATCGGTGGGAAAAAAATATTGAGCTGAAGATGTACAATAATTAACGAATCAGATTTAGATTTACAGGATTTTATTAGATTTCAAAAAATTTGCTTCATTTGGAAAATTCAGAATATATTTATGTAATTCACTTTATTAAGTAATTTTACAATTCCTTGCCCTTCCTTGTGTATTGCAGAAAATTCTCAATTGAGTGTGGTTGAATATATAATTGAAGGAACTTAAAAAGAGTTTTAAGCAACGAATTTTCCCTTTCGTTTATTCATTTTTAATAATCTTTTATATTATGGCTTATACTAAATTTCTTTGTGTTTCCTTATGTTATTATTTATTTAGAATTCTTATTTCTTACAAGTTCAAAAAGCTAAAAATATAAGTTTGTTCATTAGTAATTGGTGGTATTTACATGCAAAGGAAAAAGCCCTATTGGTAGTGTCTTATATTTGTAAGAAGAATTGAACTCTTACTTTGCTCTTAATTCTTGCTTTAATATTGTTGTTTTAAAGTATCAATATTTGTTCACCTAATTTTAGATTAGAGGGCATTCAAGAGTCTGACGTGCGCGTGACTTGATTCTAATCGTTATTTTTTGAGCAGCATAATAAATCTCAATATAACTCAAGTGGTGGCCGTTGCTGCTAAACTTTGACATTTGATGGAAAGGTTTTTGTTTACTTGACCCGACGCTTAAAAGCAACACATATACACACATACACACACATAGACGCACACGCACACACTCAAGTGTATGTACACACTGACCTTAGACACCCAGCAGCCATCGTTTTTCATACTGCACGTAAGCTCAATGATTTTCTCCTTTTTTTGTTGCCGGACTGCCTGCTGTGCCATGTCGAAAATGAGTAGATTATCTTCTGATACCACTTGTGAATCCTTAGCAGCCTATATTGCTAGTAAATCGACAGCTAGTGTGTCTATTTCGAAGTTTAGTTTTGCTGAGCCTCGTGAAATAGCCTCGTTTAAAATAAGTGTTCCGCCGGAAGCTTTTACAATTATATGTGATCCAAAATTTTGGCCTCCACATATGATTGTTCATGAGTTCAGGCAGAAAAAACGAGTTTCGTCACTGCCTGTTGATTTACAGTCCAATCTTTCTTCGAAACTAACGTCAAGTTTGGCTTCAAAAAACTAGGCTCGCGATCCTTTTCGCTTAATATTCTGTATCAGAATGTTAGGGGACTTTTGTCCAAGCTTGGCAATTTATTTTTGAGCAGTTTTTCTTTCGATTCGAATATTATTGCGTTTTCAGAAACGTGGTTAAACCCCACGATTTTTGATAACGAAATTTTATCAGATGACTTTTGTATCTTTCGTCGTGATCGTCCGAGTCGTCGAGGTGGAGGCGTACTGATTGCAGTCAAATCCAACCTTCGGTCGGAAATCATTGATGTAGATGTGCCAAATGATGTTGAATTTGTTGCTGTTAAAGTAACTTTTCCGTCTTTTGTTCTATACATCACTTGCTCGTACATACCTCCCTCTTCTGATGTTCAGGTTTATATGCAACATATAACTTGTATTAAAGAAATTTTTACTCATCTTCGTGACAGCGACGCGTTTGTTGTGGTAGGTGATTTTAATTTGCCCAACATAGAATGGTCATACCTCAATGAATCAAATTATTTGGTGCCCTCTGCAGACCATGAATTTTTGGATTGCCTGTTGGACCTTTCTTTGTTTCAAATTAATCATATACCTAATCACCTTAGTAGAATGCTTGATCTCGTCTATGTCACTGACCCTAGTAGCGCAGTTGTCTCTAGGTCTTCACCCCTGTCAGTGCCTGAAGATACTTACCACCCTACTTTAGAAATCT